TTCAATGTATATACCAAATGCCACTAAAATTGATCCTTAGCTTGATTTAAATTTTTTTTATTAGTTTTAGTGGATTGATCTTTTACTGCATTTGTTGGGTTATAGATTTTCTATGCTTGGTAACATCTCGATTCTCTAAAGTTGTGTTGCACAATATGGACAATTTGAAATTGGCTTCAATTGGAGAAAATAGTGACTTTTTTTTACCAATGCATAGATACGAGATTAATGCAACTCATATGATTGTTGTCTGTATATTGTAGAACTTGAGGATTAGATGTTTTATGAGACTGAAAGAGGCCATTTAGATTTTTTCGATTATTTATATGAAATACTCATATTATAAGAACTTCAAAATTATTGATAATTGTGAGCGGTTTGCTCCTATAAGGTTATATCGCATCTTTTCCAAAATGAAATTTTGCTTTTTTCCGAGAGCACCCTACGCTCAACTAGATAGGTCTCATTCTCACCATGTGAGTTCTCACTTTCCCCATTATTGATTTTCTCGACAGTGGATATTGTAAATGGGAATCGTAAGTTAGTAACAAAGAAAATATGTGTTTTATAAAGTGGATGCTCATATATATTTGTGTAGTTTCATTACATTCCACGTTAAGGTAGGTTAGTCATAGGCAAAAGTTGGTAATATCTTTTCACCTATCTTGATATACGGTCCTAAGTAAAAAGAATTTACATCTATCATCAAACAGACTGTAGGATATCCGGTTAGTTTCAGTTCTTGAATTTTGTTGGTTGTACTTTCGACGCTAACATTTCACTTAATATTTACCGATTTTGTGATTACTAAGCAGATCAACTCATTATCATCAACTTACCAGATGGACATGCAGCTCATTTCACAAAGTCAAAACTCTTTTAAGAAAAGAATAATGAAGGTATAAAAATATCTTCCTTCAAAGATTTGCGTATTTAGGTGTCAAATTTTGTACTACTACTATTTCTCCTGTATTCCATTTGGTGAAACGCTTCGGCATCGTGTTGGGAGGTAGTTTTGTGTTTTCAAGCAGTTCCATGCCAACAAGCATGGCTGTGATCTTAGTCCCTCTTTCTAATTTCTGGATTTGATTTTCAAAAATGATACGGTCACTTTTTATGTGAATCCTAATTTCTAATCAAAATCCTAGCAAAGTAATTGCAGAAGTTTGGTGCAGTGTTTATGCTTTTAGTTGCTGGAATATATATATATTAAAACATGTTGCTGGAATATTTGGTTAGAGCATTTTGTGTAGGTAGATCACAAATATGATTATTAAACAAAGGAAGACATGAAGGTTCATGGATAGAAGTTGAAATATGAGATCAAGAAGGTAAATAGTTTGTTGCTATAGTGGCAAAGAATGAGATTAACATGTGAAAAACGTGACAGCAATTGAGGAATGCATGAAAAGGGACCAAAGGAATAAAAAGGATAAAAACATTGAAAGATAAAAACTAAAAGTGATGGAGTAAATGAAGTGAGACACAAAGAAGAAGACGAGAAATATCGGTGGACAATGACATCAGTTGTAAAGCAACCGAGGAAGTAAATCCTGAGAAAAAACTAAACGTGATAGTCCGAGAAAGTCATAAGTATTCAATCTAAAGAATCATATGACCAAAAGAAATGAGTTACATGACAAGATCTCTAAACTAAAGGATGAAAAAAGCATGAAAATAGTAAATAATAAGAGAGAGTAATTAGAACAAGTCATTATCAGTTGGAGTAAAATAGTGTGAACCAATAATTTTGCCATCGCGATGAATTTACCTTGTGTTACAAAACAATTGAATGGATTCTTTTTATGTCATTTTCAAACTCTTTATGAAAGAAAAACAACGTTCGATAGGCTCTAATTTTACGAAGGAATTAACACAACAACATGGAATGGTTTCATATGGATATAAAAAATATATAGTTTTCTAATGAAACAAAGAAAACTATACCTAAGATCATCTAAAACCAATAACATCA